TGGACAATATCCCCTTTTGGTTGAATCAAGTCACTATTTACTATCATCTGGCCCCAAAACTTAAATTACAAATGGTCTGTTCTCCATGTTTCCCGCTCTGTCACGAGTCAACATTGCACATAGACTTGTAGTAAAGGGATCAAAGGTTACAGGGAGAAGGCAGGAGAACGGGGTGGGGAAACATATCCATGATCGAATGGTGGAACAGACTCGAAGAGCAGAATGGCTTAATTCTGCTTCAACATCTAATAATCTTACAACATTACACAGGGCTATTGAATCTGCACCAAAAAAACTACTGGAAATCTACACTAGTCCCACTTTCCAACACTTAGCCCATAGCCTTGAATGTTGTGGCATTTCATCTACTTATCCAATCATATTTTAAAGGTTGTAAGGTTTCCCGCTTGAATTACCCTTCCAGGCAGTGGATTCCGTATTCCAGATTCCCACCACCCTCTCAAATTCTTTCTGAACCTTCTGCCTTTCACTTCAAAATTATGCCTTCTTGTTATTGATCCTTTAATTAGGTGGAAGAGCTCTTTCTATCCATCCTGTACATGCCTCTCATAATCTTGTACATCTCAATCAGGTCTCCCCTCAGCCTTTTCTACTGCACTTATCCAGTCTCTCTACAGGACTGTGCATCCCAGGCAACATCCCTGCTCCTGCACAATCACATCCTTCTGAAAGTGTAATGTCCAGAACTGCACGTACTACACCAGCTGCGGCCTAACCAAAGTTTTGTAAAGTTCCAACATAACCACCCTGCCCATGTAATCTATGTTACTACTTATAAAGGCAACTGTTTCATATGGCTTCCTAACTAGCCTATTAACCTGTGCAGCTGTCTTCAGGGATCTGTGGACAAGCACCCCAAGATCTCATTGTTCCTCTGAGCTTCCAATGTCCTGCCATTCATTGAGTCATAGAATCCTACAGCACGGAGACAGGCCCTTCAGCCTAAACTGGTCCATGCCGACTAAAATATCCATCCATGCTAACCCCATTTCCCTGCACTTGGCCCATATCCTTCTAAACCTTTCCTATCCATGTATTTGTCCAAATGCCTTTTAAATGTTGTTAATGTACCTGCCTCAACCACTTCCGCTGGTATCTTATTCCATATGCGTACCCCCCTCAGTGTAACAAAAAAAGCTGTCCCTCAGGTTCCTATGTATTCTTTCCCCTCCTACTGTAAACTGATGCCCTCTAGTCTTCGATTCCCCAACCCTGGGAGAAAGACTGAGTGCATTCACCCTATCCATGCCTCTCATGATTGTATACACTTCTATAAGATGCCCCCTCAATCTCCTCTGCTGTAAAGAAAAAAGTCCTAGCTTGTCCAACCTCTCCCTATAACTCAGTCCCTTGAGTCCTAGCAACATCCTTGTAAATCTCCTCTGCACTCTTTCCAGTTTAATAACATCCTTCCTATAGTAAGGTGACTCAACCTGAACACAATATTCTAAGTGCGGCCTCACCAACGTCCTGTGCAACTGCAACATAAATTCCTAACTTCTATACTCAAATGCCTTGTCTGATGAAGGCCAATGTGTCAAAAGCTTTCTTCCCTGTCCTGTCGACCTGTGACTCCACTTCCAGAGAACTGTGTACCTGAACTCCAAGGTCCCTCTGTTCCACCACACTCCTTCAGACCCTACCATTCACCATGAGATTGCTACCTTGATTTGACTTTCCAAAATGCAACACCTCACACTTATCTATATTAAACTCCATTTGCCATTTCTTGGCCCACTTCCCCAGCTGATCAAGATCCTGCTGCAATTTCTGATAACTTTCCTCACTGTCCACGATACTGCCTATTTTAGTGTCATCCGCAAACTTACTAAATTCATTGAGTACTCCCTTGTCTAGTTACTTCTTCCAAAGTAAATCACTTCACACTTTTCAGGGTTAAATCCATTAGCCCATCTGCTCAATCTGTCTATATCCTCCTGCAACCTAAGACATTCTTTTTCACTGTCAACCACCTAGCCAATCTTCATGTCATCTGCAAACTTGCTTGTAGTGTATATCATTTATATGCGTCACAAACAATAAGGGAGTTGACACCGATCCCTGGCCTCTAGTTACACAAACAGCTTCTACCAACACCCTCTGTTTCTTAACTTTAAGCCAGTTTTTGATCCAACTTGCCAAGTTACCCAGATCTCATGTGCCTTTACCTTCTTTATTAGTCTCCCAGCTGAGACCTTGTCGAAATCCATGACTGAAATCCATAAAAGCTACATCAACTGCACTACCCTCATCTACATACTTGGTTACCACCTCAAAAAATTCTATCAAATTTGTTAGGCATGACCTTCCTCTGACAAAGCCATGCTGACTATCCCTGATCAAACCATGCCTCTCCAAGATTAATTCTCTCCTTCAGATATCTTATTCATGCTTCAAACCAACTATCACTAATTGGGTGAACATTGCAATCCCTCTGATGACCTGATCTATCATGGTATGTTACTGTTTAGAGAAATCATACATGCCAGGAAACACAAGTGTCTGTTTACCATTCACAAATACATTGAGTGTCATTTAAATTGTAGACTGTTCAGTTTAGTGTGCCTGTTATTAGGGCAGCATTGCACTGCCAACAGTAATTAACTAAAAACTAATAAAATACATTTCAAGGGTGTTAATTGGCAACTCAGAAAAATAGCAGAATGTGGAAATACAGTAGATGTTAGAGATCAAAACATCAAATGTTTTTAAAAAAACATTTTTTTCCTGCAAGTTTGAGAGTTTGGCTCCAGTTCATGAGTTCTGTTACTAATATACAATCTCGCTTTCATCTTTCCAGACAATACTGAAGAACCAGCTCCAAAACGTCTACGGCCAGATGAGGTTACTGCCTCAGAAGGACCACAGTGACTTGTGATAAATGAGCAACATCATTTTAGCAGTTAAGAAACCGAATACAGTGCAATTTAATTACCAGTCAGTAAAAGGAATCTCAGAATGTTTGCATCATTTCCTGGACTCCATACTCCTGGTCAGGATTTGCTTCTATAAACAGCTAGTGATTTGTTATAATGGGTAATGAAGCCCTCTCAAGGGCTCACTTTTTTCATGCTCACCAGGATAGTTTTTCCACTGTGCATATTGAATTCTATCATGTTAATAAGTAACCAATGAGAAATTCTGCCTTCAACAACACCATAAGAACTGCAAAAATGTATATTTTTAAAAATGTGTTGTACATTAATCATTTTATTTTTTGGAATTGAAATAGTTTGAATTATGTTTTGCACAGCAGAAAACATTTCAATAGGTTTGAGAATAGATGGCTTCAATCCAACTGCAGTAAAATAAATTGTATTTGTCATGAATATACTTTCTTCAGCTCTGGTGTCTTATGATTAGGCATTCATTTTACAGGAGAAATGAAGCAATTTTTATTTTGTTTAAAAACTATAACAAATTAAGTGTATTTTTATTTATTGATTTTAACTCATTAAGTAAAATGTTCTGAAATTGTGCAGAATGGAATGCTAATTCCTTAGGCACTTTTGTACATTTGACTCATTACGATTACACCGTGGTAAATCTACTTGGGTATAATAATGACATTGGTACGGTCTTTTTTTAATATTAAAGACAATGGAAGCCAGTCAGATGGTTGTTTAGTATCATAGGAGTTAAAGAAATACGATGAAGGTAAAGTACTTTGAAGTTGTACAATGCAGTCACAAATCTAGTTTGCTGGGCTCTTTGAAATAAAGTGTCCCTATATTTCTTGTCATGAAGTAATACATATTTTTAATAAAAATCTGATTGAACGTAAGTAGAAAGTAGCCTTGTGAATAGGCTGTAGCTAATTAGACAGGTTTGATTTATTTTTAATGCAGAATTATTTGCTAATAAATGTAAACGATATTGATGCTCAGGAATGGAACATATTTTTGCTTTTAAAGCAAAATAATGTCAATGCCAGAAAGCTGAAATACAAACAGAGTATGCTGGTAATACTCAGCAATCTAGCATCATCTGTAAGTAGAGAAAAAGAGTTAACACTTCAGGTCTGTGACCTGTTTTCATATATTTCTGTTTTTGGTTTCTAGGGTCAATATCAAGCAACATAATGAGAAATGCCTTGATTAGCTCCACAAGTATTTTCTTCTGTATAGCCTGAAAATTGTCAAGGAAAACTCTCTAAAACTCCAATGCAGGCAGTGTGTGACATTTTATTATACATTACAGACACTTCTGAGAGCGTCATTCTTGTTTCCTGTCTGTCTTCAAATGTCACTGCAAGCAACTGTTATATTAAGAATGATACATTTAGTGGGATTTTGGGATGTTTCACTTAAAAGTTCGTATTTCTGTACTACACTTCAAAGAGAAATAATTCTGAAAGAAACCTTTCAGGACCCAAGCCAGGATTGCTGCAGATTTACTAATAACCTCATCCAGTTTTTACTCCATAATAATTCTTAATTGACTCTTCTGTAAATCAAATTGTGGCAGACATAAGATGATTTACCCTTAAAACATTGCACACACTTCAAATGTCATAAAAGTGTGGATCTTAAAGAACAGTGCATCCTCTGGTTTAGATAGCGTATTACAGTGGCGTGGAGGAAAGTCAGAAGAGTGTGGCAGCACTTACATTATGGTTATCAACCCTGTTGATAATATGGAAACCTTCCTGAATTATTGATCTGTTACAACCCAGGAGAAAAACACTTTGTATTTGTGGTTTCTACTTCAGTTATTTCCAAGTGACAGCTTTCTGAAAAATGCTGTGTAAAAGGGCAAAATATTCAAGTTGTCTGCCAATAAAATTAGAATGCCTGCTCTGGACTCTCTTCTTACTTAATAGACTTCTGACTACTCAATAAAAATAGTATCAGTAGTTTACATCATGTGTTGTGAGGCATTCAGCATTCTTAGATTGACATTAATTGCTGCAGCAATTATCACTTTTGAATTTTATAGAAAAATGTATTCAATATTTATTCAAAATACAGCTTTCCGACTTCTTCACTTAATCCGAGTTCAGATATTGTGATTTTCTTTCTCTTCATGAGTTAAGTTATTTTAAATTTAAATTTCAGCTTTGAAATATGATCTTTTTGTTTTTATTAATTTTAAATATGAATAGAATCCTCCTAGGTGGTCAGCTCCCTAAGAAGCTTCTTACTGTGCATCAGTATTTCATTCCTTGACCATCTTCTGGCAACCTTTCCCTTTGTTTAAACTCTGGTCAAATAGTTGGGTGCATTTTCGCCCTTACTTTGCCCATTCTCCAATCACGCCTGTTTGTCGCATTCTTCACTGAGCATAGAATCCTCTTCTCAAATGTAGCTTCCAGGTTTCTGGACTTTTCTGGACATCAAGATTATACTTTTGCACTGGGTTGCACTGAGAGTGCACCATAAGACTCAGTTGCTATGTTTCTGATCTACTGTTTAAATTTTGAAGTAACTTTAATCTGTTTACTGACCATTCCAAACCACTGTCGTTCCTTGTTGATTCTGTGACTAGTCTACTGGTTTTTCAGCTTCAGTTACAGTATGATTCCTGACTAGAGTTGTAATGGGTGAAAGGACAGTACATTCTTTTTTAAATTCATCCAGGGGATGTGGGCTTTGCCTGAGCCAACATGACCACCTGTCCATAGTTGCCCTTGAGAAAGAGGGTAACGGTGAGTTGCCTTCTTGAACTGCTTGGCACAAATATATCCACAATGCTATTAGGGAGGGATTTCCAGAATTTTTACCCAGCACCACTGAAGGAATGGCGATGTAGTTCCACATCAGGATGGTGACTAGCTTGGAGAGGAAGTTGCAGGTCTTATTGGTGTTTACATGTATTTAGAATCATAGGGCTGTACAGAATGGAAACAGACCCTTCGGTCCAACTCGTCCCTTCCAACCAGATATCCTAGATTAATCTAGTCCCATCTGTCTGCATTTGGCTCATATCCCTCTAAACCATTCCTATTCATATACCCATCCAGATGCCTTTTAAATGTGTAATTGTACCAGCCTTCACCACTTTCTCTAGCAGCTCATTCCATACATGCACCACTGTCTACGTGAAAAAGTTGCCCGTTAGGTCCCTTTTATATCTTTCCCCTCTCACTTTAAAGCTATCTATGCCTTCTAGTTTTGGACTCCTCCACCCCAGGGAAAAGACCTTATCTATTTACCCTATCCATGCCCCTCATGATTTTATAAACCTCTAGAAAGTCATGCCTCTGACGGTCCATAACAAATGTATTGAAATGCTGTGGCCATTAATAGGGGTGATTCTGTTAGCATGCAGTAGTGTTCAGTGGACACTTTCCGTTGTGTCCATTTGCAGCACACTTTCGCGAAGTGGAATTTAGGCCATGAGGTAGCACGTCAGCACACAGAATTGTTATGAGTCAGGTGGTATTGGTGTTTCCATGTATTTAGAGTCATAGAAATGTACAGCATAGAAACAGACCCTTCAGTCCAACTTGTCCATGTGACCAGATATCCTAAATTAATCTAGTTCCATTTGCCAGCATTTGCCTCCTATCCCTCTAAACCCTTCCTATTCAAATACTCATCCAGCTGCCTTTTAAATGTTGTAATTGTACCAGCCTCCACCACCTCTTCTGACAGCACGTTCCATACGTGAATCACTTTCTACATGAAAACATTGCCCTAGCGCCCCTTTTAAGTCTTTCTCCTCTCACCTTAAACCTATGCCCTCCAGTTTTAGATTCCCTTACTCTGGGCAACAGTCTTTAGCCTGACCATGTCCCTCATCCACAGCCTCTGATGCTTCAGGGAAAATAGCCCCAGCCTATTCAGCCTCTCCCTACAGCTCAAACCCTCCACTGCTGGCAACATCCCTGTAAATCTTTTCTGAACCATTTGGCCCATCATGCCTACGCCAGTTCTATTACCTAGTCCCAAGCTCCTGCCTTTTCTTCATATCCATGCTCACCATTTCCATACAAATAATCATCTAATGCTCTTTTGAATGTCTCAATTGAGCCTGCCTCCACCACATTTCACACTGTAACTACCCACTGCGTGAGAAAGGTCTCTCACATCGCTGTTGCATCTTCTGCAAATCACTTTTAATTTGTGTCCTCTCGGTCATATTCCTGCTCGCAAAAGAAACGGTTTTCCTTATCTAAATCAGCCCACTCATGATTTTGAAAACCTCTATCAATCAATCAGTCTTCTCTCCAAGGAGAGTAGTCTGAAGTTGTTCAATCTATCCTATAAACAGAGGCTTGTAGTCGTTCAATACTGGAAGGGCGAAACACAAAGGAATCTTTTGCCCAGCACTTCCTTTCTTTCAACTCGGAGGAAATGGCCTAGTGGTATTATCACTAATGTTCTTGGGACCTGGGTTCAAATCCTGCCACAGCAGATGGTGGAATTTGAATGCAGTTTAAAAAAATCTGAAATTAAAGCGTCTAATGATGATCATGTAATTGATTGTAGTGAAGCAAATAGGATTTCCCCAAACATCCTTTCAGGAAGGAAATTGTTGACTTGGTCTGACCTAAATGTGAGTCCGGACCCAGAGCAATATTGTTGAATCTTAATTGTCCTCTTGGCAGTTAGGGATAGGCAATAAATACTGGCCTAGCCAGCAACATCCACATTCCGTAAATGAATAAAACAAAACCAACGTCATGTCTGTAGTCCAGGACACAATCACACAGAAGATGGTTTTCTATTGAGGGGTAAATCAGTCCATCATTACTAGACCAGTTTTTGAATGACATCTCTGCCTTTGAAGGATTGCTTTCTGAAGTGCTGTTGGCTTTCTTCAGATGCAGCATGGGACTGAGTGTAAACTGTGTAGCCAATGAATCTTCATTCTCAGCCATCTTCTGGCATGTAGTTCAATAGATCCATAAATAATTTGGAATTATGGTCTATTGCCATGACAATAGCCAAGCATTACTGTCAACAGTTTGTGCCTTAATTGAGATGGACATAACTCTCATTAAAATTCAGTGGTGGTGAGAAACTTCAAAATCTGCCAGTAACATTTGATTTGAACTTCATTACTTCTGGACTGCAACAAAGTTCATGACTGTGGTTTGACCTCCCATGTACATGTAGGACCATACAATTGTCTTGAAATAAAATATGCCAAAAGAAAAATATTGTTAAAAAAAAGTTATTCGAAATGAAGTTTGTTGCACAATCGTTTGACTGGAAGGAAATAAAAGTATTTGCAGTGTAAAATTCATTACTGAATAATTGTCCACAGGATGGACAGTAAACCTTTCAATCTCAATCGGTTGAAATTCAAGAAGGAAACTACATTGACATTGCTTGTGAAACTTCTGAAACGTGGATGACAATGTCATCTCTGCTGTCTCAGAAGAGAATCTTCAAGCCTCGCCTAACACCTTTGCAGAAGCATCCCAGAGAATTGGTCTCAGCCTCAAACGCAAGACCACCCAAATTATTCACCAGTCCATCCCAGGCCAAATTCTGGTCTATCACTCCACTAAGATCAGTGGAAAAATCCTCCCAAATGTGGAACATTTTACCAACCTGGGGAGCCACCTCTCGTCTGAGGCTGACATTGATGCGGAGATGCATAACCACATCCAATCCACAGGCACTGCCCTCAGACACTTTTAAGGATGAGAGTCTTCAACAACTGTAACATCCTTACTGATACTGATCAGTATGTATAAGTCACTCGTCTATCTGACAGCTATATGACTCCAAATTTGAACTATGTATAGACACCATCTCCAGGCCCTGGAGAAGTACCATAAATGCTATTGGAGATGGATTCTCTACATCAACTGGGAGGGCAGGTGTACTAACACCAGCATTGAGACCATGACTATCCGAAACTAATTCTACTTGGTTGGCTACATGCTTAGGATACCCAAGTTCCGGTTAACAAAGCAAACCTTCTTTGCCCAGCTCAAGGAAGGCACTTGAGTGAGGGGAGTACCAAGGAAATGCTTCAAAAGACTCAGTGAAGGCTTACTTCAAGAAGTGACATATTCAGTAATGCCTGAAAGACCCTCACTCAGCCAAAACTGACTTGGAGGAAACACCTGTATCCAGTGGATGTGATTTGTTTGGATTTCCAGAAGTCCTTTGACAAGGTGCCGGACAGGAGGCTGCTAAATAAAATAAGAGTCCATAGTGTTAGGGGCAAGGTACTGGCATAGATAGAGGACTGGTTGATTGGTACAAGGCAGAGAGTGGGGATAAAGAGATCTTTTTCAGATGGCAGCTGCGAGTAGTGGAGTTCCACAGGGGTCAGTGCTAGGACTACAACTATTCACTTTGTACATTAATGATCTGGACGAAGGAACTGAGAGCATTGTTGCTAAGTTTGTCGATGACAAAGATAGGTGGAGGCACAGTCAGTATTAAGGAAGTGAGGAGGCTGCAGAAGGACTTGGACTGGCTAGGAGAGTGTGCAAAGTGAAAGATGGAATACAATGTGAGAAATTGTGAGGTTATGTACTTATGAACTGAATCATTTATTGTCACGTGTATTCAATGTGAAAAAACAGTGAAAAGTGTGTCCCTTCACCATACATATATGGCACCATTCATGTTAACTTAGAATAAGATAACAAAAAGATAACTTAAGAGAGTCCAAATTTCCTTTCTACTGCTGCAGTCCCACTCAGGGCTTTCTAGCCCACACCAGCGTCCTGCTCTGGGCCGCCTCACTGGCCCAATCTCGCTGCAGCTGCCTTACTGGCCCACTCTCGATCCGCTGCTGTTGCTTCAGCCCACACTTGATCTGCCATCACTGCAGGACAAAACCTGCTGTTCAGTTCCCGCCACGCGGTTCCCAGCTGCCACCTAGCTC